AGTTAGTGAGCTACTGCTATATATTAGGCTCTGTGCTAAGCTTATGTATTATCCAATTAAATCCACTAAATAACACTGTGAGTCATTGTCCCCAGCTTACAGATAAGCAAACCAAAGTCCATGCAACATAATTTCCTTAGATAATAAATATGAATCTAGAAATCAAACCCAGGTCTGTCTGACTCCAAAGCCTACACCCTTTACGACCACCTACTCTCTAGGAACCTCCCATAGCTAGCCTCTCATTACTCTGTCCATAAGTTCTTATGTCATTGATTAGAATAAAGCATGGTTCACCAACTACTCCTTCACAATGACAAATTTTTCAGAGAAAAATGCTGAAATTAAAATTTAATTTTTGCACCAAGCCCTCTCTGATATCAAAAATTGCCCGTTCTTGAAATGGTGGGGAAAACAAACTTTCATGGCCCTACTCCCAGCCTCCACAGATTTTACAAAACATGATCTGCAGCTGGGGTAATTTTTAGGAGCTTCAGGAAGTCCTCATCCCAAGGACATACATGTTCCCTCATGCTTGAAATCTTTTTATTAAAGAGATAGAGCCTTTTCCCCCACAACTGGAAAAAAAGGCTGAAGACCGATCTACTCCTTGGAGAGGGAACACACTAGTATAGTGATTAGGACAGATTATATCATTCCATGAGGGATAGTTTTTAACAAGTTGGGAAGGGGGCAAGCAGTGTAAAGACTAAATCTACTCTTCCTGAGGTCCCACAGAGTCAGTCATAGACCAGTAAGACACAATTGGAGCCTTCTCTGTCACTATCCTCTAACCTCACGCAAGGTGCTTCTCAATGGTACAATATTCTGCAATATCCTATGATTGAACTATACTTTGTAAATTTGCCCAGAGCTGGGCAAATTTACAGCTATGGACTTTGCTGTTCTCACCAATAATAGCAATGCAAATGGGTTTGCATTGCTATTATTGGTGAGAACAGCAAAGTCCATAGCTAATACATGAAGTGTAGCTCCATTTACACGTCTTTTATCAAGATTAATCATGAATTAATGTAAGTCCTTATCCCTTGATTATAAGGATCCCATTCTGATATAACAATTTAAATGTTCTCTTGAAAAATGAAAATTATTTTTCAATTACAGTCATTCATGATCCCAATTCAGGCAAAACTTTTATTTAAATAAATAATTAGTCTTGGCAATAGCATCATAATTTATGAATATGTAAAGTTTGAACGTGCTAATTCTTGGTCGCTGCATTAGTTTTTCAAGTGACATGTTGTTATATATATGTGTGGTATTGGGGTAGGAATTATCCAAAGCAAATAACACTGATGCAGTCTTGCCTGGCTCACTGGAAACTTACTTTCTAAGGCAGGAGCTTACTCAGCTGATTTGAACAGATCTTCCACGCTTCCTCCTGCATTTTCCTTTGCTGAATTCCTGGTAAAAATCCTACAACTTGCGTTAGTGTTGTTTGACTTCCTGGGGTAGAGACAGTGCTGAGTGTTAAAACCCATAATCACACTGACAAATTTTTTCAACACTGCACAGTATTTTAAGAATCATCTCTTTTTACATTCCATTTCTTTCGCTTTTGCCATTGTTGAGTATTTCTCTACCACGCAGGTAGTTAGAAACTGTCCTTGAAAACAAAAATCCCACCTTCAAATTTGCTCAGTTTGTTACAGCCTTTGTGACGTTGTGATCATTTTTATGCTGGGTACATTGTTATGACACAAATGCTACATGTGGAGAAGTCACAAAAAATTGTTGTAGGGCTATGGTAATTAGCAAGACAAAATGCAATCTGACTAAGGCAGAACTTCAAAGAATAAATCACTGTTGGGGGACAAATAGGAAACAGAAGAGGGAAAAAGCCAAGTTGGATTCAATCCAGAAATTGGTTTTCTATGAAAATCAGTAACCCTTTGTCAATAGTTTCTTAGCATATTGAAGGCTGGAATTATGCCTTATAGATCTTTGCTATAATCAATACCCTACTCATAGTGTGTGCTTGACAAGAATTTGATGGTAGCCAGAAGATGGTAATGTTGATAACAATGAATTCTACCATTTATCAAAACTTAACTAACATGTGAGGGTTCTTTTTATGTTGTTTCCTCACAAAATATTCAATATTTTCTGAGACTTTGTGCAATGCAAAGCCTGGACATGCCATATCGGTAGAATGAAGGTTAAAATATGGTCTTTGAAAAGTGACACTACCTTAAATTGCAGCCATTCTGAATGGGGAAGGAGTAATTTTGCCCGCCAGTGGACATTTGGGCATGCTTGGACACATTTTTGGTTGTCACATACGGGGGGTGGGTTGCTACTGGACTCTAGTGGAGTTGCTACAGGACAGCCCCCCACCAAAGGAATAATCTGGCCTAAAATATCAATAGCATCAAGGTTGAGAAGCCCTGCTTAATGACTGGGAAAATCCCTCCCTGGGTTCCTCATAACAGTTTCTCTTCACCTATGATATTACATTAAATTCTGGTCTATATATACCATTAAAACTATGGTCAAGGCTGTTAAGAAGAGAGTTGAAAAGAATGTGTCTCAATTACATTTTGACAGTCATATCTGTCATGGTATTTGAATAGGCCAGGCCATGTGAGTAAACCTAGCCTAGAAGCTAGGTAGTTCCAGGCTTAAATTATTCAGATAGTTGCTTCCATTTTTGGCTTTGAACCACTTTTGCAGATTTAGTCTCTAGTTGCAAGCTACCCTGGGAGATATACACTCTCAGCCACCAAGTGGAAAACCAGAATATTTCCCTATTGACAGAGAAGATGAGCCACCCAGCCCCAAGGCTGAAAAGCAACCTAGACAAAGCTTGGGTCCCTGCCTAAGTCAGCTATCTAATTGCACTAGGAGATACTATGCTAGGTTTTTTATGGAATTCATATAGTAATGCCTGGCATTTGTATGGCACTTTTAACTTTTGCAATAATTTTTCTTTACATATCTTTGAAGAGGTTAGAAGGAGAGGGCAGGAGCAGAGAAAGAAATTTTAGCCTTATCCACAAACCACTGAGAAAGCACCAAACTTCAGAAGCACACACAATCCTCATATGTTAAAGACAATTGCACTGTATACAGAGCCTTTGAAGGAAAGAGCTGACAAGAATAAGGATTTCACTATCCCTGAGCACTGCTTCTGGTTACATCTGGGCTTGAAGTGGAAGTCTCAGCTGGACTGCAATTTGGCTAAAGAAAGGGAGATGCCCCAAAGTTTTATCCACAGTCACATATTCTACTCACCCTCATGCCAAAGGGAAGATGACTTAATCACAACAGAGACCTCCCTTGTTTGGGATATTAGTTTGGGTATATTATTTGTTTGGGTATATTAGTTTGCTGGTTCACAGTAAACTGTCTTTGAATGAAAGGCAAAGAATCAAGTGATTTTTTTTTCAGGGACCCTCTTGGCCAATCTTGAGAAACACTTCCACAAGTATTTAAGCTGTAAGGAGGTGGAAGCTCCACCCTCACTTCTCCCTCGCGACACCCCTCCCCATCGACACAAACTCTTCATTCCCCCAGGGTAATCATTTTCTTTTCTCCAATGCCTTGCTCCCATCCAAAAGCTAAATACTCTCCAGAATATTGGACCCCTCAGGACTAGGAGGATTAAGGACAACGGGAAAATTTGTCTTGCTTGGTCCAAACGACTTTTCCAAGGTAAGCTAGGAGGAGAGTGCCTAAGGCTTGCAGTAAACATAACTAATACCAGCTTCTCAGGCTCTGCAATGAAAACACTCGGCCATTTAGGCAAGGGAGATGGCTCTGGCTTTTTCTGGAGCTTAGACTTAGACTCCCAGGGCATGCAGAGGGGGTTAAAGAGCAGCAGGAAGTAAAGTGGAGCTTTCTCAGAGCTACGGATTGTTCTGAGAATGGCTAGGGAAAACGGTTTCAGGTACCAGCCCAGCGTCCAGAAAGGCAGAGACTCACTTGCCGCTTTCCTGAAAGAGTAAGGAAGGGAGATAAAAGACAAAGCCGAGATTTGGGGCTGTGCAGCCGGGCCAGGAGATGCTGCCAGCTAGCGGACCTACACGCCTGCAGGTTGCAGGTAGAAATCTCAGGCTTGTGGCGGGGGTGGGGCTACTTAGCCCCTTCCAGTTAGGTTTAAGAGGGTGGACATTCTGGGCGCCAGGGTATAGGGAGAAAGATGGAAGTGGAGAGGTGCTTCCCGTGAAAGGAAGGTGTAAAGATCAAAGAGTCACCCAAGTGTCCGGTGATACCGCCCCTCTCCCCCAATCACAGATACCACTAAGCAACTTAGCCCCCGCATCCTACAATATCACTATCCCTCCCGGCATCAGTCTAGGCTGGATCTTGGGAAACCGATCCTGTGGGTGAGAGGGGCACGGATGGGAGAATTAGGTAGCTCCAAATAGATTAAACTAGATCTATCAGGGATCAAAGCCCACCGGATAGGACCCCGGGTCAGTTCCTGGTGACTCAGTGCCCCGCTGTCCCGCTGTCCTGCTGTCCTACCAGCCACCTGCTTGCGCTCTTGCCGGTTCAACTCCCCTTTCCCCGGAATGACCTGCGGTCCCTAGAGCAGCCTGGCCACCACCGGCCCAGAGCCCAGGCTGAGGGTGGTGGGCAAAGGTCACTGCCCGAACCAGGAGATACTCAGGTCAAGGAGCAAAGAGAGATTCTGCTAGCCAGAGGATCTGAGGGGCTCCTGTCCCCTCTATCCGCACCGGCGCTTAGCCTCCCACCTCCCCTCCAGTCTCTGCCACCACCCAGGGGAGGGGAAGGTCTGGGGAAGCCAACGAAGGAGACAGAACAGAAAATTCCGTACCGAGGGGGGAGAGATGAGATGGTGGGACGGGGCAGCAGGGGTTGACTTGGGGCTGCGGCTGCGGCTTCCTTCCACCCCTGGCCTCTGAGCTGCAGAGAAGGCAGGAGCTGCTGCCCTGCCCGTGCCGCCTGCCCCGTCCTCCCTCTTTCCCTCCCCCGTCCCCGCCTCCCCCGCCCCACCCCGTCTGCCACAGCCTTTTGCGGGGAGATCCAGAGAGGCTTCGGGGCTGGGGGAGGTGAGGGGTGCTTTAGCCTGCCTACCAGGGTTGTCTCAATCTCTCTCTCTCTCTCTCTCTCAATCTCTCTCTCACACACACACACACACACACACACACGCACGCACACACACACACCCCACATCACAACCGAGACGGGCTGTCCGCAGCTCTCAGCCACCCCAAGGGGAGGAAGAGAACAGGAGCAGGGGGAAGCCTGGCGCAGAAAGAAGGGAAAAGGAAGAGCTCAGGGTTGAACATTTTTGGAGATTGGGGTGGGGAGAAGAAAGGAAGCGTGCCTCCTCTATTTTCCCCTCCCTACCCCTCTTTGCTTTTCTCTCCCCTTCCCTGTATAGCATATTCCAGAAAAGGCAGCAGAAGGGGATAGAAACCTCTAGTGTAGAAAGGGATTTAGAGGGGTGGCCAGCGTTCCCGCCAGCCGCTACCTAACAGCTGGAGCTTGAATGTGCAGGTAAGAGTGTGAATGCCGCTCGCTCTCTCTCTCTGTATCTCTCTCTCTCTAGCTCTCTCTCTCTCTCTTTCTCTTTTCTCTCTCCTCTCTCTGCATCTCTCCCTTCCTCCATCCTTCTCCCTCCTTCATACTACAGTGTCAGCTACCCCTGTCAGTTTCCCTGTGTCAGTTTCTTCCCTAGCTCTTATTGTGTGTGGCTGGCTGAGTGTAGGGAGTGTGTGCGCTTGAAGGAGCTCAGGTTAGGTTAGAGAGCTGGGAGAACAGGACAGGGACACTGGTAGAGCAAAGAGTTTCGGGGCACTGGCGAAGGCGAAAGGTGAGGAGGGCTGATCTGTTACAGGGAAGTTTGGGAATAACTGAATATCCAAAGGGGAAGCCAAGGTAGGAGTCAGTACTTGCGCTCCTCTCTACACCCCGCCCCTTTCCCTGTGCTCATCAGCCCGCCCACCCGTCAGCCTAGAGGCCCCAGGCTGTCCCATGTGGCCGCTGTTTGCGCGCTGCCAAAGAGGAGTCCGGCAAGGCGCGGCATCTCACATCCTGGCCGGCCGACACCCAGACAACACAGGTCTGATCCGGAGGAACCACTTGGCTCAGGGTAAGTCGACAGGCAGCCGGTGCAGTCCATTACGCTGCCTGAGCGCTGCTGAGGGGCAAGGGGCAGAAAAGTGCAGGTTGAATGAAGATGCTGGGCTGGTGTAGGCTGAGAGGTATTGACTGGCTAGCCGTGGGCTCAGAGTGGCAGAGGGACGCCAGCAACAGATTGTTTCGGAAGAGGAAATGCGATGCGGGAAAGCTCTAGGGGTGATAGGACAAGGTGCTCCTTGTCGATGACCAAGAGCATCCCTTCACTGGGAATATTTTCCCAAACTACAGCTCACAGCTTTGTCCTATCCCTGGACAATGCTTTGCTTCATTCTTGGATAGATTTTAAGATCCCTGGGGATCCCAGACCTCCTTAAAATTGATTAGTGTGGCCCTTGGACCAAGGATACCTGCCCTTTGTCAAAAGCCACCTTCAGAAATAGAGAGCCAGAAGCCAGATCATGAAGGTTCAGGAACCAGAGTCCCCATTTACCTTATTTGTCTTGTATCCTTCAAACTTAAGAAAGGGCCACGTTTGTTTGCCTGGCTTCCTTAAAGGAACCAAGAAATGCAAATGGAGGGGCATCAGTCAGATCTCTGCTTCAAAGTAGACACTTCCCTCCCTCTCTACACACACACTGGCTTGGACAAATGGTCATGATCGTATCCCACATATGCAGGTACTGAGGTGAATTTACAGATGCTGATCTTTCTCCACAGTCTCTTAGAATGAGACTAAGAGAAGGGTTTTTCCTTATTATATCCTGGGCTCTTTGGATCACAGTCATGTACCTGGTGATGGTCAAGCCAAGCGTTTAGCAAGGTTATTACTCCCTCATGAAAAGCCTGAAGTGGGGAAACCAGCCTGCAAGATAGAATCTCTGAACTTTACCCGAGTTTATTACAAGAATAGGAGAGACACAGACTAATCAATAATGCTCCTTTTAGAGATTGTGCATGTTAGCCCTTGGCTTCAAATGAGAAATAATTATTACATTGACATGGCACACCTAGATCCGTTTTTTTATTGCCGGTATTTATCTTCATGGCGTTTAACAAGAAAGACAAGTTTATATATCAGCATTCATAATTGTCTATTGTTACTTCCCTAGGTTTTTTGATGTTTTATTGATGATTTATATGATGTCTCCTTAGCCATAAACTCTTTAAAAACAGAAATATAAATGATATCACATGGTACCTTTCATCATGTGTTTCAAATCTGCTTAGGAGGCATGCTAATACAATTACATGGTATGAAGTCCGTTGCAAGGCAAATATATAGTCTTGGATAAATTAAACCCACAGGGTCAAGGAGTCTCTGAAGCTCTCTCTGTGAGGTTGAAGGAAGAATTGAATGCCACCTAAAAATCCACATTTTGGTCCCTGGAAGATGCTGTTTTCATAAACTTTCACTGTATATATATATATATATACATACACTCACACACACACACACACACGAGGTGGGGGAGAGAGAGAGAGAGAGAGAGAGAGAGAGAGAGAGAGAGAGAGAGAGAGAGAGAATCTGTGTGTATGTGTGTGTGTAGTTTTTCAAGGACCTCAATCAACCCCATACAATGTTGGCTCTGTGCTTTTGTAATAGAGGGGAGCAGGAGGTGAATTTGTGCTTCCAATGCACCCAGGTTCTTCTGCTAAACTTTCTGTTTATTACTGCTTTACCAAAATGCAATGAATTGTCTCCTTCCAACTCAGCAAATAGGAGAAACAGATTTTGCATTAAGTGAAACTGTTTATATTGCATCAGGCAATTTGTTGTAATGTTCACTGCTGAAAGAGAGCAGAATGAAGATTACTCAAGTAGAATCTGAAAAGGTGCCCATTCTGTTACTTTTTAAAGGCAACCGTAAGTAAGTATTTTCTTAGGTTAAAATTACACTTTCCTATAGATGTAGCAAAGATCGAGTTGCAGACAGGTCAGAAAGAACTGGCAGCATCATAATTGGGGAAAAATCTCAAAATTTCAAAACAAATGAAGCATACAGTGTAGGTTTTTATCTGTTCTTGGTGATATAAGTATCTGGCTGTTTAAGTGAGTCCTGATGGTCACCCAGGGGACAAGCAGGTCAGCAGGTTCAGGGATTCAGAACCAATGTAGCCCCCAGCATCACTGAAACAAATTCACCTGGCTTCAGTATACGTTTCAACATGAAGACCTGAACCAGATATCTGCCATCCTTCTTAGCCGTAAGAGCTATAATCCTAAGATTCTGTTCTTTCTAGACCTAACAACTAAAACCAGAATGGCACGCAGAACCACAGTACTTAGAGAAGAGTAGGCCAGGGAATTAGAGATGCAGAGGGGAAAAAGATGAGAGGAATAGGAGAGAACTGAAGATGTTTGGAAACAAATGGAGAGAAAACTATCTAGGTGTTTGCTTTGGCTGGGAATGGAATTAATCCAGAAATCAACTCGTATGTGTTGCATCTTAAAATTGCCTGTATTTGACTTGCAAACACTGAATAAACAATGATAGAATTCCATAGAACCAGGAAACTGGAGACCTTGAAGTACATTTTCGGTGTTGCCATCTCGTTTCACTCCATACAATATTAAATTCCAACCTGCAAGCCATTCAAGTGCTTAATTATTGAATGGATATTTCAATTGTGTCATGCTGCTTTCCTCTAGCCTGTTTTTGAATATTCTACTTTGTCTTTTGCCATGGCTCCATCACTGAAGGTGGTAGACCAAAGCATTTCTGCCTGCTTTACTTCTGCCAAAGGTTCCTGTTTTCACCTTAGAATACCAAGCTGTTCAGATGCCTCCTGCAAACTAATGCAGTATATATGGCACAGGATCTCTATCCTCAAATCACTGTGCCACAAATGTATTCTTGTTATAGTTCTGTAATTCAGAAGTCTGACACAGGGATCACTGGGCTAAAATCAAGATTTCCGCAAGACTGCCTTCCCTTCTGGAGGCTCTAACAGAGAATATACTTCCTCATTCAGATTGTTGGCCTAATTCACTTCCTTGAGGTTATAAAACTGAAGTTTTAATTTCTTTGCTGGCTATCAGGATTATTTCCTATTTTAAGGTCTGCTAATTATCACTTCAATTATATCTGAAAAATCTTTTTCACCATGTAACATCATATTCAAAGGTTCTGGGGATGAGGGTGTTGACGTATTTATGGGGTGGCCATATCTTGTCTACCATAATCTTCTATGTATTGAGTGCTACAAATACATGGTCTTAAATGAAATTCACTACAGTTTCTATATGATAGGAATTATTATTATTCCCATTTAACAGATGAGGAAACAGGATCAGACAAGTTATCTGGTATGTTTAACACTGCACAACTTGTGAATGGTGGAGGCAGGGTCACAGTCTCTCTTCTTCCAAATCTTGAATTTTCCCTATTGGCCTACGTTATGCAGCTGTCTCATTGTTGGAAAGCTCTTTTGGTGGGTGGTTATTGTTTCATTTGTTGTTGTTATTTTGTTTTGTGTTTTATCTTTTTAGTCACATTTTTGAGTAGTTAATTTATATTCATGGTTTAAAAATCAAAATGTGTAACAAGGTATTCTGTTTTCCATCTGCATGGTTGTCCCCACCCCTCCCCCATTTGATTTGTTTCCCTCTAAAACTTCTGAATGAAAATACAAGCAATCGTGAATAGATGTACAGCAATATCTTTACATTTTAACAAAATGCCTCAAACTACAGCTCAAATCCGTTTTGTCCTTTTGTTGCATTCTCATTACAATGCAACTTCAGAAGAACTAACATCTGCGTTAAGTGACAGATCTTTGGGCCAATCAGTTACCTAAGCAACTGGTGACTCCACCCACTTTCTAAAATGCCTTATAATACTTTTGACCCCATGATGCTCACTTGAATACTCTATACATTATATAACCTTAATGCCTCAATATTGTTATGTATCCCATCAATTTTATCTGAACATCCCAGTGTCCTGGAATTTTAGGAAACACAAACATGAGAGAGAGAGACAGTGAGAGAGAGACAGAAGAAGAGAAAGGGGAAAGAGAGAGAGAAAGCAGAAAAGGAAATAGAAAAGAAAAAGAAGGAGGAGGAAGAAGAAAAGGAAGAGAGTCAGAACAAGAGGAAGAAGAAGAGAATGTATATGAGGAAGAAGGAGAAAGAAGAAGAGGGAAAGAAGAAGAAGAATAAGAGGAGGAGGAGGAGGAAGAAGAAGAAGAATGCCCACAGTGTACAGTGGGAAAAAAACATATATTTATGGAATATATTTTACTATTATTCCATATTGTAATGAGGTGATTATATTTTAGCATAAATAAGTGTAATGTCTTATTTATGAATAATCTTTGATAAAATAGACACAGCTATCTATTTTGCAAAACAGCATGGAACTCTTACGTAATTACAAACATTGAAACAGGCTACCATATAATTGGGTACCATCTCATATAGCAATAGGCACTGAAAACAAAAGATGGTAAGTTTGGTTTAAACAAAGAGTTGAATAAAGCTAGTGACAAAATCAGTATACCAGAAGTAATTATTTTGTCATTCCTACTATGAACATTGTTCTTTAGCTGTAATGTAAGTGCCTCCTCTTTCCAGCATATCAATAGCATACAATATACACTTGCCTTCTAGTGGCACAAAACAGAGCATTTCACTATCTTCTGTTTTTTGTTTTTGTTTTTGTTTTTTTGTTTGTTTGTTTTTTGCTACCCTTTAAACCAGTAGTTTTCCACCTGTGGACAGTGATTCATTAATATATTGTGAAATAGTTGATAGCCACTATTTTTAAATGAAATAGAATAAAATAGAGAAATGTGAATCTCATGCAGTAAGAGTAAGCATTGTTTCATTAATCTTATTTTAGTAATACATGTGTGTATGTGCACACAGGTATATGTTCATGTTTGTGTATAAGGTTCAAAATAAAATGTTTTTCTTGCTGTGGGTTATTGTCCAAAAGTTTGATAAATATTACTTTAAACAATTAGAACCACGGAATAGATGTTATATTTCATAATCCTTATCAATAA